ACATTTCATATTTGTGTAACATAGAAAAGTTACGCAAGTGGTAGCAATTTTTAGAGGAATAAAAACAAAAGTCTAGGTTTCCTCTTTCATTTGATTAGCTCCCAATATCTACAGGCACTGTCGATTCTTCTTCCCAGATATTATGTGCAGGCAAAGACCTCATTTCATCTCTCTCCTTCACCCCATCCCCATGGTGTAGGATCCCTCCCATCCATTCCTAACAACCTCTTGGAAGTCCGGAGGTGGGGGCGAGCGGATAGGTTATTTTACCATATAAACTTCCACTAACCCTGAATGTCCTGGATGCAATGAATTCTGAACCACGATCATTCCATATTAGGGAAACAGAAGGGCAGGGCAGCTTCTTCATTTTGTCTTCATGTTTCTGTTCTCTCTGCCTATAATTTTGTTAACAGTATTTATATCACTGTTCTGTAATAATTGACATTTTTCTTGGTTTCTCTTTTAGATGGCAAACTCTTGTGGGCAGGAAGTGTACCTTGTACATCTCTGTAGCCTCACTGCCTATCTAGCAGGTCTAGAAGTGTTCAGTCAATGTTTTTCCTTCCTCTTCCTCTTGAATTGTCAAAATTGTAACCAACCCACAGAGACGATGCTATTAAGAAGGACTTTCAAGATCCAGCTTAAATGTCAGTTTCTCCTTGCAGCTGTTATTAATGCCCTGACTAGAATCTCCCACAGTTTTCCCACCATTGCTAGAACCTGTCATATCCTTTTTTACCCAAGTTTTCAGGCTTTGGACCTGAGATCAGATCCTGCCATTTACCTTTGATCTCAGGCAAATTACTAAATCTCTGTAACAACAACATCAACAATAACACAACTAATACTGACCATGTGCCACACATTGTTCTAAGAGTGTTATATGAATTAATTCATTTAATCTTCACATCAACCCTACGTTTGCACAACACTGTGAATGCAATTAATGTCACTGAGTGTACACTTAAAAATAGTTAAAATGGTGTATTTTATGTTATATGTATTTTACTCCAATAAAAATAAAGGTAGACACAGAGAAGTTAAGTAATTTACTCGAAGTCTCACAACTAGTAAGTAGCAAAGCTACCTCAGAAGTCCAGCTTCAGAGTCCATATTCTTAACTTCTATACTGTATTGCTTCTCACAAAGTCTCATTTTCTTCATATATATAATGGGAATGACATTATCTATCTCACAGGTGTATAAAGTGCTTCACACATAGCAACAGTGCAAAAAAGCTATTGTTTTGCCTTAGTCCTTTTCTACACATTTATGTTCCTTGAAGGCTCAGTCTGTCTTATCTTTGCACTTCTCTCACTGCAGTTAGCATGGGGTACAATAAAGAGCAGATCTAAAATAAATATTTTATTCAGAGAAATGTCTGTGGCACCTAGAAATCCAAACATGGATGAAAAAGACAATACTATACAAGTGAGAATTTTGAAGTGTTATTATAAAGACATAAACTAACATTTTGTGCAAGTTGAAAAAAAAGATCAATTCTGACTTAGGGAACATGTCTAAGTGGAGGTGACACTGAGCTAGCCAAGGCCTGAAGGAGAGTAAGGAGAGGTTGTATAACCACTTCCCTAAATGGCAATTACAAATAGCTCAAAACACAAGTCCAATGGAAAAAAAAAAAAAAAACTTTAATAGTGACATTAAGATAATCCTAACAGTAAAATACTGTAAAAAAAAATCCGATGCAAGTAAAACTACGCTCTATAGACACACTTGGTGCAGAAAACAAAAACGAGCCCCCTTTTCTAATGATTAAATAATTACAAAAGTATTCTCAGCACCATTTGGCATACAATTTAGAAGGTCAAGGCAGTGTAAGGTTTAATGACAAAATCAGGAGACCTAAACTTCAAGATCCCTCTGCCACTGACACTGGACACTATAACCATAGATTCTGAGGGCTGCCACCTTAATGCTAAGTGGACTCAAGGGCAAGTAGTGTAACTGTTCCAACTCTGAGCTCAGGGTGGTCCAAGTTAAAGTCGGTGCAGCCCGCTACAGCCCGGCTGTACTAGAAAGGGTCGCAGGGACTGAAGGCAGCACAACGGCTTTTGTGGGGCATACAATCGCCTTCTCGAGCGCCCCAGAAGCCTAAGTAGCGGTGAACTGCTAAACCTCCTCTCGCTGGAATCCATCCGAAGTCGCTCCGATTGGACAATCCAGGAGTCGGCCGACTTACAATGTCTAAAACAATAAGCAACCTCAACTCCCACCTACAAAGATCCCTAGGGTTTCATTCACTCCCCTGCCTCGTTAGGAGAAATGGAACATGAAAACACCGCTTCCCGCTCTGCCCCAGGTAGGCCGCGAATCAGGTGGCGGCTAAAAACAGGGGGCAGACAAAGCGGCCTCCGGCCACTGACTCCAAAGAAAGGGAATGATCCGGGCATCAGACTCGCTCAGGCCCTCACACCGGGGCCCAGGGGTCCGCCGGACCCCGCTGTAGCGGCGTCGAAGAGACAAGGAAGCCAGGTGAAACAGAGGACGGCCAAGCTCACCTGTCGCTTGTTCATCCGCCGCACATCGTCCAAAAAGTCTAGAGACAGCATGGCGGGGACGAAGAGCAGGACACGGACAGGAGAGAGGGATCAATGTGAACCAGCGGGCGGAACGGCTGGCGCACGGGCCAGGCTCACACTGGACGGGACGCCGCAGTGCCTGCACTTCCGCTTCCGGGGCGGGAGCCGGCACGGCCCTTCCCCTTGCTGTGGAGAGCAGACAAAGGGAACCGCAACCCTTCTAGTCCAGCCTCCTGGCCTGGCCTCGCCGTAGGAGGACTCTGCCGTTCCAGCCCTCGCCTGCCCAAAACCGGCTGGATCCCACTCCGGCGCTGAGCCCTGCGGCCTTTGCGGAGGCGGCGACCCAGGGTTAGAGGGGAGGCAGCCCTGCCACCTTCGAAAGGCGGGTCCTCATGCACACCTGGCCAATCGGGAGCGGTCTTTCCGGTCTGGGCGGGCAGAAGCCATTCCTGAATGGCCGGCGCGTTCCTGCGTCCCGGCCCTGGCCTGGGTGTGGCAGTTGACGTGTCATCTGGCTGTGCATTCTCAGGTGGAGCTTGTCTTTCCCGCGCTACGGGAAGCTGACGATTGAGGAGCTTTCAGTAAGTGCTTTTCGCGCAAGGGTGGGCAATGTGAGAGACTTTCAAAGCACTGTCTGAAGAAGCTTCCAGGAGTTTACAGTACGGCTGAAGAGAAAACAGCCCGGTGCAATTAGAAAGCAACCAAAAGAGGCCGGGCGCGGTGGCTCACGCCTGTAATCCTAGCACTCTGGGAGGCCGAGGCGGGCGGATTGTTTGAGCTCAGGAGTTCAAAACCAGCCTGAGCAAGAGCGAGACCCCGCCTCTACTAAAAAAATTAGAAAGAATAGCCAGGCACAGTGGTGTACACCTGTAGTCCCAGCTACTCGGGAGGCAGAGGCAGTAGGATCACTTGAGCCCAGGAGTTTGAGGTTGCTGTGAGCTAGGCTGACGCCACGGCACTCACTCTAGCCAGGACAACAGAGTGAGACTGTCTCAAAAAAAAGCAACCAAAAGATACAACAGTGTGATGAACCCACCAGTGGTGCGGGTCGTCAGAAAGTTCCTTCTTCCCTAACCTTGACTTTGCTGACAGGATATGACTTTGTCTCCTTGAACTCTACCTCCTGGTTTTCTTAACTGGGGCACTTTGATGTTACCCTCTTTTCGGTATCTTCTGTCTCCTCTCTCTATATAAACATCTTTTGCCTTGGCTGGCTGAAGCTCCTAATACCCACTTCAGCCAACAAGGACTAAAGCTGTATCTCTTGCTGCTATTTCTATCTTTTTCAAAATATTCGTACTCTCCGATTAGAGGAAGCCGAATGAAGGATATACTGGAACTCTTTGTACTATCCTCGCAGCTCTGTCACCCAGGCCAGAGTGCGGTGGCGTGGTCATAGATCAGCTCACTGTAACCTCGAACTCCTAACCTCAAGCGATCCTCCTACCTCAACCTCACAAAGTGCTGGGATTAAAGGCATGAGCCAACACTCCTGGCTGCGATTCTTTAAATCGAAAGTTATTTCAAAATAAAAAGTTAAGGCCAGGCGCGGTGGCTCACGCCTGTAATCCTAGCTCTCTGGGAGGCCGAGGCGGGCGGATCGTTTGAGCTCAGGAGTTCGAAACCAGCCTGAGCAAGAGCGAGACCCCGTCTCTACTAAAAATAGAAAGAAATTAATCAGACAACTAAAAAATATATAGAAAAAATTAGCCGAGCATTGTGGCTCATGCCTGTAGTCCCAGCTACTCGGGAGGCTGAGGCAGGAGGATTGCTTGAGCCCAGGAGTTTGAGGTTGCTGTGAGCTAGGCTGACCCCACGGCACTCACTCTAGCCGGGGCAACACAGTGAGACTCTGTCTCAAAAAAAAAAAGTTAAAAAATACATTGGAGGATGGCTGTAATTTAAAAAAAAAAAAAGTTATAATACTAAGTTTGGGGCCGGGTGCAGTAGTTCACACCTATAATCCCAGCACTTTGGGAGACAGGAGGATCACCTGAGGCCAGGAGTTAGAGACCAGCCTGAGTGACATAGGGAGACCCCGTCTCTACAAAAAAAATTTTTGAACTTAACCAGTCATGGTATTGCTCGCCTATAGTTCTAGCTACTTGGGAGCTTGAGACAGGAGGACCCCATCCCTGTCTCTAAAAAAAACACAATAATAAGTATGGGGGGGATATGGGGAAACTGGAACCCCATACACTACTGTTGGGAATGTAAAAATGATGCAGCCACTTTGGAACATAGCTGCAATTGCTCAAAAGGTTAAATACAGAGTTACTATATTAACCAGCAGTTCCACTCCTAGGCATATACGCAAGAGAACTGAAAACATTTGTCCACACAAAAACTTGTACACGAACATTCATAGCAGTATTATTCATGATAGCCAAAAAATAGAAATAACTCAAATGTTCATCAACTAATGAAGGGAGGGATGAACAAAATGTGGTATATTGGAATAATGTACTAATAATTCCATTGGTACAATGGAATATTATTTGAGCAATACAAAGATACTACAACATGGATGAACCTTGAAACAGTATGCTTAGTGAAAGAAGTCAGTCAAAAGACCAAGTACTGTATGATTTCATTTATGTAAAATGGTCAGAATAGGCAAATCCAAAGAGATGGCAAGCAGGGGTTGCCTAGGGCTGGGAGAGTTGAGGAAAATGGAGAGTGACTTGTTAATGGGTATGGGTTTTCTTTTGGGGGGTGATAGTTGTACAACTATGTGAATACACTAAAAACCATAGAATTGCACACTTTAAATTGGTGAACTTTATGGTATGTGAATTATATCATAATAAAACTCTTATGAGAAAGAAAAAGTAACCAAGGGTGTCTTGTTCACTATTAAATTCCCTGCATTGAACACACAGCCTGGCACATATTAGGTACCCAATAAATACTTGTTGAATTTAAAATTTGTGTGTGTGTGTTTGTGTTATCTCTAACTGCTGTGCCTAGGCACCCCATACTAAATGAGTTGAAAAAATGAACCCCTGATTTCTCTAAATTAGGAAGGCCTATGGAAGAAAGCACATGTAAACTCCATGAGGGGAGGCATGTTGTCTGTACCCAGCTCTCATAACAGTGCCAGACATGTAGCAGATACTCAATATGTTTTTGTTTTTGTTTTAGAGACAGGATCTCACTCTGTCACCCAGGCTGGAGTGCAGTGGCACGATCATAGCTCACTGTTTGCTCCACCTCAGCTCAAGCCATCCTCCTGCCGCAGCCTCCCAAGTAGCTAGGACTACAGGTGTGCACCACCACACCCCCTGCTATTATCTGTTAATAAATGTTGAATATGGGTTGTAATCTAAATTCTAGCTAATGGAGCCCTTGACCTATGCTTGTCAATGTTTAATTCAAATTTAAAGGTAAACACCAGCAACCATTTAAATGGGTATGAGCCTTGTTCCACCTCTTGCATTCTGAAGAAAAGAGCCCCAAGAGAGGCACAAAGACCTGTGGGGCTTCAGATATGGGAAAAGTCAATTTAGTTGAGGAGCTTTACAGGAAGCTTAAAAGGGGCCTCAGAAGGGAAAGAATATTTGAGATATGAGTAAAATGTATTTGATATGTAGATAAAGTTGGCAAGCAAAAGGGATATACCAAGTGAGCGGTATATATATATTGCTGTAATAAAGGTGCCTAGACAGGAAATGAAAATGTAAATGAATAAGCCAGTTTGATTTTCCAACCTTACCCAAACCATAAGGAACCAGACTAGTCTGGCCTGCAGTGCTCTCTTGCCGCCAAGGAAACTTGAGCAAGCCTAAAATGTCACTTGTTGGATACACACAATTCCCACCTATGGCCACATCCAGGTAATATTCTACATCTGAAAACTTATGCTCCCGTAACTCACTTTCTGATGGTTACATTTTTTGTTTCTCTATATGTTTTAAATTATACAAATAATACATGAGTATATTTTCATCCTAAAAGATTAAAATAAGAACGGTAATCCAGCAATTCTACTTCTGGGTTGACATCTAAAAGAATTGAAAGCAGGATCTCAAAGAGATATTTGTACACTCCTGTTCATAGCAGCATTATTCAAAATAAAAGAGGCTGAGGCTGGAGGATCCCTTGAACTCAGGAGTTCAAGAGCAGCCTAAGCAAGAGTGAGACCCCATCTCTACTAAAAATAGAAAAAATTAGCTGGGAAAGTAAAAATAGAAAAAAAAAAAATTAGCAGGGCATGGTGGCACATGCTTGTAGTCCCAGCTACTTGGGAGGCTGAAGCAGGAGGATCGAGCATTGAGCCCAGGAGTTTGAGGTTGCTGTGAGCTAGGCTGACACCACTGCATTCTAGCCAGGGCGACAGAGGAAGCTTCTGTCTCAATAAAAAAAGAAAGTCAAAAAAAAAGATAGATGCAACCCATGCGTCCATAGATGGATGAACAGATGAATAAAATGTGGTATATACATACGATGGAATATTATTTAGCCTTAAAAAGGACAGAAATTCTGACACATGCTACAATATGGATGAACCTTGAAGACATGATGCTATGTGAAATAAGCCAGCCACAAAAATACAAATATGTGGCTTCACTTACATGAGATAGCTAAAGTCGTCAAACTCATAGAAACAGAAAGCAGAATGGTGGTTGCCGGGGGTGGGGGGGCAGCGGGGGAGGAGGAAATGGAGAGTTGTTGTTTAATATGTATGGTTTTAGTTTTTCAAGATGAAAACTTTCTGGAGAGTGGTTGTACAACAATGTCAATCTACTTAATAATACCAAACTGTACACTTTAACATGATTAAGATGGTAAATGTTATGTTATGTGTATTTGACCCTAATTGGGGGAAAAAAGCATATATAGAGTAGAACATGAATATTCTCTTTTCTCTCTCTTTTTTTTTTTTTCAGAGACAAGGTCTTGCTGTGTCACCCCCGCTAGAGTACAGTACAGTGGAGTGATCATAGCTCACAGCAACCTCAAACTTCTGGCTCAAGTGATCCTCCTGCCTCAGCCTCCCAAGTAACTGGGACTACCCACCACCACTCCCAACCAATTTTTCTGGTTTTTTGTACAGACCTGGATCTCACTATGTTGCTCAGGCTGGTCTCTAACTCCTGGCCTCAAGCGATCCTCCTGCCTCAGCCTCCCAGAGTGCTGGGATTACAGGTGTGAACCACTACGCCCAGCCCTCTCTTTGCTCTTCAACTATCTCCCTTCTCTAAACTGAACCCCACTGTTTTAACAGTTTTCTCTTCTAGTGCTTTTTCCTATGTACTTAAAATTTACTCTCATTTTTTTTTCACAAATGGGACCACACTGTACCTTTCCTTTCCTGTTTATGCTTTTCCACTTCAATGAGTTCTCCAGTCAC